CCCCCCCCCCGTCTCCCCGCTCTCTCCGCAGACTTTTCAGTAGTTTAGGAGAGCTCAGCACCATTTCCCAGCGCAGCTCCGGCACCACCTTCACCGTGCGGCCCGGCAGCCGCTACCCCGTCACCCGCCGCACGCCCAGCCCCGTCAAACCCGCGGCGCTGGAGCGGCCCGAGCCCCTCAGCACCGTCCGGCCCTACGGCCTGACGCCCCCCACCATCCTCAAATCCTCCAGCCTCTCCATCCCCCACGAGCCCAAGGAAGTTCGCTTCGTGGTCCGCAGCGTCAGCGCCCGCAGCCGCTCCCCGTCGCCGTCGCCGTCGCCGTCGCCGGGGCTGCACACGCTGCACCCGCCGCGGCCCTTCATGCAGAAGCCGCTGCACCTGTGGAACAAGTACGACGTGGGGGACTGGCTGGAGAGCATCAACCTGGTGGAGCACCGGGACAAGTTCGAGGACCACGAGATCGAGGGCACGCACCTGCCCGCCCTGACCAAGGAGGACTTCGTGGAGTTGGGGGTGACCCGCGTGGGGCACCGCATGAACATCGAGCGGGCGCTCAAGCAGCTGGTGGACAGCTGACCGCGTCCCGAGCCGCCGTGGGAAGGGCGGGGCGGCATTCCCAAGCCAAGAAAACCCACTCGGATTCTCCTGCTCCTTCTCCGAGCGCTGCACTGAGGGTGCGGGGCCGCCCCCCGGCTCCCGCCCCGGCCCCGCGCCGCCCCCGGCCCAGGAATGTTGCATGAAATTCCTCCTCGTTCCCGTTCTCCCGGAGAGTCTGGCCTGGACAGCGCTCCGCCCCGGCGGTGGCACCGGGGACACCCGGGGGTGGCACCTCGGGGGGCGACACGGCCTGGAGCCCCCCGAGCCGCCGGGTGGCACCCCCCGGGTGGCCCCGCCAGGCTCAGAGGTGGCCCAAGACGCTGAGAAGTCCCAGGTGACCCTGCCGGAGGTGGCCCCAGGTCCTGACACCCGCCAGGTGTCCCCGGCAGGGTCAGAGGTGGCCCCGGGTCCTGACACCCCCCAGGTGACCCTGCCGGGAGGTGGCCCCAGGTCCTGACACCCCCCAGGTGTCCCCGGCAGGGTCACAGTTGTCCCTGCCAGGCTTGGAGGTGGCCCAAGGTCCTGAACCCCCCCAGGTGTCCCTGCCAGGGGGTGGCACCAGGTCCTGGACCCCTCCGAGTGTCCCTGGCAGGGTCAGAATTGTCCCTGCCGGGGGTGGCCCCGGCTCCCCCCCAGGTGTCCCCCAGGTGTCCCCCAGGTGTCCCCGTCGGGCTCGGAGGCGGCGGCTCCCGGAGAAAGGAAGGAAGGAAAGGAGGAAGGAAAGGAGGAAGGAAAGGAGAGAGGAAGCAAGGAAGGAAGGAAGGAAGGGCCGGGAAGGCTCCAGCGGCGGCCGTGCTACCCCGAGCCGTGCCAGGCCGTGCCAGAAGAGCCCCCCCGCCAGGCGGACCCCCCCGGACTCTGAGCTGCTGCCCCGGCCGGGTGAGAGGGAGCGAGGAGCGCATGGATCGAAGCATGTTTGGGAATGTCGGGAGGCTGGGGGGGGGGGGAGAAACCCCCCACAAAAAAAAAAAACCCTTCCGGCCCCCCCAAAATCCTGCTCATCCCTCGTTTTGCATCTTTTTAAGCAGCTCTATATTTGGAAAGAGAGAATATCTATATATCTATATCTCCAGAGCTATAGCCACCTGATTTTTTGTTAGGATTTTCCTAAAAAAATTCCTATCTCTGGACTGGAGGAGACGCTCCCGGGACGCCCGTGGCTCGCGGGAGTTTTTAAGCGACTGAATGAATGTGAAAAAGTCTTTTTAAACACATCACAACAAACCCTAAAATCCCCCCCCACCCCCACCCCGAAACAGCTCCTTTCGGGCGCTCTGGATTTGTAAAGATTCAGAGAAATCACAAAAACACACACACACACACAAAAAAAAACTTAAAAAAAAAAACAAAAAAAAAAAAAAACCAAACTTGCGTTTTGGGACACACCGAGTCTTCCAGGCACACAGCAGGGAGGTCCCCGGGGGTCGTGTCCCCACTTTTGGGGGTCCCAGGGCTGGTGGTGGCCGCGGGGACGATGCCCGGGGGAGGGGGCGCTGCCGGGACCCCGCCCCCCGCGGCGGTGTCCCCAGCGCCACCCGCGTGTCCCCCGGGCTGGGGGCGAGCCCGGCTGGCCGGGAGGGGAGGGCTCGGTGGTCCCAAAAGCCGAGGCCCCCAGGAAGGCATTAAAAAAAAAAAACAAAAAAACTCTTCTGGTGCTAAGAGGGGAGGACAGGGAGCTCCGTCCTGACCCTCAACATCTCCGAACCTTTCCGTCCTTGCCAGGGAAAAGGGCCCGGAGCTCCCCCGGGGTGTCCCCAGGATGTCCCCTGTCCTATGTCGGGGTACCAGGACCTCCCCGAGATGTCCCCTGCCCTGTGCCAGGGCACCGGGATGTCCCCGAGATGTCCCCTGCCCTGTGACAGGGCACAGGGGTGTCCCCGAGATGTCCCCTGCCCTGTGTCAGGGCTCTGGGAACTCTCTGGGATGTCCCCTGCCCTGTTCCAGGCACCGGGGTGTCCCCGGGATGTCCCCTGCCCTGTGGATGTCCCCTGCCCTGTGACAGGGCACCAGGATGTCCCCGGGATGTCCCCTGCCCTGTGCCAGGGCTCTGGGAACTCTCTGGGATGTCCCCTGCCCTGTTCCAGGCACCGGGGTGTCCCCAGGAGGGTCCCCGCTGCCATCTCCTTGTCCCCGAGCCCTCACCCCCGTGGCGACACCCGCCGTTCTCCGGAAGCCACCGGGGGCGCGTGGCCTGTCCCCGTCCCCGGCTGCCACCCCCGCTGTCCCACCCGGGAACGGGGAAGGGCCCGGAGCCGACCCGGTGGGCGACGAGCCGGGAAAAAAAATCCCGGGAAAAAAAATCCCGGGAAAAAAAATCCCGGGAAAAAAAACCCGCCGGGCTCGGCGAGCCCGGAGCCGTCCCGGGCCCTCCCTGCGCCACCGCGGTGCCACCGCGCCCGCCGGGTGTCCCCTGCCCAGCTCAGGTCCTGCCCTCGGCCGTGTCCCCGCAGCCCCCGCGAGCCAGCGCCCGTGTCCCCAGACCTGCGCTGGCAGCCCCGCTGTGTCACCAAGTGTCACCCGCGCCCCCCAGATCCTCCGTGCCAGCCCCCCCACGGTCACTGCCCCGCGATCCGCCCTCAGCCCAGCCCCGCCCTGTGCCCTGCCACCGGGACCCCAAATCCAGCCCACCTGTACCCCAAATCCATCCCACCCACATCCCCCAAATCCAGCCCACCTGTACCCCAAATCCATCCCACCCACATCCCCCAAATCCAGCCCACCCGTACCCCAAATCCATCTCACCCACATCCCCCAAATCCATCCCACCCTTATCCCCAAATCCATCCCATCCTTATTCCCAAATCCATCCCATCCTTATCCCCAAATCCAGCCCACCTTATCCCCAAACCCATCCCACCCGTACCCCCAAATCCATCCCACCCTTATCCCAAATCCAGCCCCACCCTGTGCAGTCTCCCCCAAATCCATCTCACCCGTACCCCAAATCCATCCCACCCCCCTCACGGGCCGGTGCCCCCCGGCCCTGTGCCCCCGCTGTGTCCGGCATTCCCGGGACGCTCTGGGCACAGGGACAGGCTGGCAGCCCCCACCCCAAATCCGATCCCAGATCCCATCCCAAATCCTATCCCACGTCCCACCCCAAATCCCATCCCAGACCCCACCCCAGACAATCCCGTGCCCCCCTCCTGTGCCTCCCCTGTCCCCTCTGTCCCCTCTGTCCCTCCGCCACCTCCCGCTGCTGTCCCGAGCCCCGCCGCACATCCCGGGGAGCTCCCGGTCCCTCCGCATCCCGCCGGGAATGTCGCACGCGGGAATGTCGCATGCGGGAATGTCGCACGCGGGAATGTCGCACGGCGGAATGTCGCGTGCCGGAATGTCGCACGCGGGAATGTCGCACGGCGGAATGTCGCGTGTCGGAATGTCGCACGGCGGGCGGAGCGCGTGCCCGGTGGCGCGGGCTCCTTCCCCAGCTGCGGGACTGGGGAATTCCCGGGAATTCCTCTGGCTGTCCCTTCCCGGGGCCGCTCGCCTGGGGGATCCCCGTGGGGACGCGCCCGCGGCTGTTTCAGCCGCGCCACCCCGCGCCTGGCACCTGGCTGTCCCCGCCTTGGGGACACGGGGGTCCCCTCGCGAGCGCTCGGCTCGCACGGCCCTGCACGGCCACCGCTGCTCCCGGCTGGGCCACCCGCGTCCCCTTGGTGCTGGCCCTCGGCACGTCCTGGCACTGCCCAGCCTGGCGGGCACTGCCCAGCCTGACCCCAGCCTGGCACTGCCCAGCCTGACCCCAGCCTGGCACTGCCCAGCCTGACCCCAGCCTGGCATTGCCCAGCCTGCCTGGCACTGACCACTCTGCCTGACCACCCTGACCCCAGCCTGGCACTGCCCAGCCTGGCGGGCACTGCCCAGCCTGACCCCAGCCTGGCATTGCCCAGCCTGCCTGGCACTGCCCAGCCTGCCTGACCCCAGCCTGGCACTGCCCAGCCTGCCTGCCACTGCCCACCCGGCCTGACCACTCTGACCACCCTGCCTGGCCACACTGGCCACTCTGCCTGACCACCCTGACCCCTCCCTGGCACTGACCACCCTGACTGGCACTACCCAGCCTGTCTGGCCGCACTGACCACCCTGACCCCAGCCTGGCACTGCCCAGCCTGCCAGACCACCCTGCCTGGCACTGTCCACCCTGCCAGACACTGACCACCCTGACCCTGGCTACCCCTGCCTGGCCACTCCAGCCTGACACTGACCACTCTGCTTGGCCACCCTGACCACCCCTGCCTGGCACTGCCCATCCTGTCTGACCACCCTGGCTGGCGCTGCCCACCCTGCCTGGCCGCACTGCCCATCCTGCCTGGCACTGCCCACCCTGCCCGACCACCCTGCCCACCGCTGCCTGCCCACCCCTGCCTGGCACTGCCCTCCCTGTCCCTCCCTGTCCCTCCCTCCCCACTGCCCGCAGCCCCCGGCAGCCCCCGGCGCTCTCGGTGTCCCCTGGGTGGCACCGGTGTCCCGGTGTCCCCGCGCGGAGCCCCCCGGTGTCCCCTCGGGCTCGAGGGCTCCGCCGGGCGCTCCCCGCGGCTCCACGGGCGCGGGTGGAAGGTGACAGTGGTGGCCTGAGCGCGGGCAGCCCGGCGCCGTCCCGCCGGGTGTCCCCGGGTCTCCGCCCCTTCCGCAGCTGTTTTTTGGGGCACACCGAGACGGAGACCCCCGCCCGCGGCCGCCTCTCGCCGCGAGAGGCCGAACCCGCGGAGCGCCACCGCTCCGCTCAAGCTCGCTCTGGGACCGGAGAGCTGCGCGCCTTCTCGCCATTTCGGAGGAGCCTTCCTCCCTCTCCCTCCTCCTCCTCCTCGTCCTCCTCCGCGCCCCCCGAGGGCGGAAATGGCGGTGCCCGCTCCGCGCCCGCGGAGCCGCGGCCGTGCCCGCCCGGCACCCCCAGCTCCCGCTGAAGCAGCTGCAGCCGTACCTGTGTTGGCGAACACTGAGTGTCACCCGCGCCGCGGGGACACCACGGCTCGTCCCAGTCAGGCCCCACGCCAGAGAAGGCGACTTCCACCCGCGCTGCCCGTCCCGCGAGCGCCCGGGGCTGCCACCAAGCTGCCGCTGTGTCCCCGCAGCCCCTCGTCCTGCTGTCCCTGTCCCCTGTCCCGTTTATCCCTGTCCCGTTTATCCCTTGTCCCCTGTCCCGTTTATCCCTGTCCCGTTTATCCCTTGTCCCTTGTCCCGTTTACCCCTGTCCCGTTTATCCCTGTCCCGTTTATCCTTTGTCCCGTTTGTCCCTTCCCGTTTATCCCTGTCCCCTTGTCCCGTTTATCCCTGTCCCCAGTCCCTCTCATCCTTTGTCTCCTGTGCCACTCATCCTTGTCCCCCTGTCCCGTTTATCCCTGTCCCGTTTACCCCTTCCCGTTTATCCCAGTTCCCTTGTCCCGTTTGTCCCTGTCCCGTTTGTCCTTGTCCCCAGCCTCCCTCATCCTTTGTCCCCTGTGCCACTCATCCCTGCCCCCCAGTCCCGTTTATCCCTGTCCCGTTTGTCCCTGTCCCCAGTCCCTCTCATCCTTTGTCCCCCGTGTCACTCATCCCTGTACCCCTGTCCTGTTTATCCCTGTCTCCTTGTCCCGTTTATCCCTGTCCCGTTTATCCCTGTCCCCAGTCCCTCTCATCCTTTGTCCCCCGTGTCACTCATCCCTGTACCCCTGTCCTGTTTATCCCTGTCCCCTGTACCACTCATCCCTGTCCCCTTGTCCCGTTTGTCCCTGTCCCCTTGTCCCGTTTATCCCTGTACCGTTTGTCCCTGTCCCCAGTCCCTCTCATCCTTCGTCCCCTGTGTCACTCATCCTGTCCCTGCCCCGCTCATCCCCATTCCGTTCATTCCTGTCCCATTGTCCCGTTTGTCCTTGTCGCCTGCCCCACTCATCCTTGCCTCCGTGCCATTCATCCCTGTCCCCCCGCCCGCCCATCCCTGTCCCCTGTGCCACTCGTCCCTGTCTCCTGTTCAGGTCATTCCTGTCCCCCCGCCCCGCCCATCCCTGTCCCCTACCCTCGTCATTTCTGTCCCCTGCCCTCGTCATTTCTGTCCCCTGCCCTCGTCATTTCTGTCCTGTCCTGCCCATTTCTGTCCCCCGCCCTGCCCACCCCTGTCCCCTGCGCTGCCCACCCCTGTCCCCTGCCCATCCCTGTCGCCCTCATTTCCCACCCCTGTCCCCTGTCCTGCCCATCCCTGTCCCCTGTCCTGCCCACCCCTGCCCAGCCCTGTCCCCTGCGCTGTCCACCCCTGTCCCCTGCCCATCCCTGTCGCCCTCATTTCCCATCCCTGTCCCCTGTCCTGCCCATCCCTGTCCCCTGTCCTGCCCACCCCTGCCCAGCCCTGTCCCCTGCGCTGTCACGGGGATGTGGCAGAGCAGGACAAGGGACTTCCCAAAGGCCATCAGGGTCCCCGGGTGAACTGGCTTCGCCTGGGGCGGCCCCTCCAGCCGCCAGCACAGACCCCCGGTGTCCCCCCCGTGTCCCCGGGTGTCCCTCTGCACCCCCAGCCTGTGCCCCGCGGTGCCACCGGCTCCGGGGTGGCCCCGTGCCCGCAGCCAGGGTCACCCACCCGGTGCCACCACGGGACCCCACGGTGCCCCCGGGCCGCGGGCCGGTGCCGTGGCCGTTCCCAAAGCGCTGCCGTCCCCTTCCCGCGGGGACGGAGCGATTCCTGGTGTCCCCAGCTCCTGTCCCCGCTCCGGCCACGCCGCTGGCCCGCTCCGGACATCTCCAGAGCCTTTGGAAAAGCCATCCAGGAGAAGGCAGAGCGGGAGTCCAGCTGACCCCTGAGCCCGGCCCCTCGGCCGTGCTGATCCCTGGGTCACACTGACCCCTCGGCCATGCCAGGCCATCGGCCGTGCTGACCCCTGGGTCACACTGACCCCTCGGCCATGCCAGGCCATCGCCCCTGTCCCAGCAGTGTCCCCAGCTCACACCAAGCATATATTTTATTGAAAGACCAAGTGGGTGACAACGGCGTGGGGACAGCCGGGGTGGCACAGTGGCTCGGGGGCTCCTCTGGCTGCTGAGTACAGATAAATACCGGGACATCGAGCGGGTGGCGATATAGTCACGATAGCGCTGGGCGACAGGGCCGAAGCGAGGGACCACCAGGCACAGCAGTGAGGAGGGGGCGGCCCCGGGACCCCCCCGGGGCCCGAGCTCGGTGGCGGGGGGGGGACAGCCGGGGACACCGACACGAGGGGCAGCACACCCGGGGCGGGGGGGCAGCTCACCCCTGGGTCACACTGACCCCTCGGTCGCCCCCGGCTCTGCCAACCCCTGGGTCACACTGACCCCTCGGTCACAACAACACATCGGCCATGCCAAACCTTTGGCCACGCTGACCCCTTGGCCATGCCAATCCCGGGGTCACGCTGACCCCTCGGCCACGCCAACCCATCGGCTGTGCCGACCCCTCGGCCACATTGACCCCTTGGCCACGCCAACCCCTTGGCCGTGCCAACCCCTCGGCCATGCCGTGGCCACGCCAACCCATTGGCCAGGCTGGCCCCTTGACCACACTGACCCCTTGGCCATGCCAAGCCATTGGCCGTGCCAAACCCTTGGTCAGCCCTCAGACCCATGGACCCCTCAGCCGCACTGACCCCTAAGCTGTGCTGACCCTTTAAGCACCCTTGGCCCTTGGCCATGCCAAGCCCTTGGCCATGCCAACCCATCAGCCATGCTGAGCCCTCGGCCGTGCTGAGCCCTTGGCCACACCAGTCCATTGGCTGTGCCAAGTCCTTGACCACGCCTCAGCCCTTTGGCCATGCCAGCCCCTCGGCCGTGCCGACCCCTTGACCACCCCTTGGCCCTTTGGCCATGCCGACCTGTCGGCCATGTTGATCCCTTGGCCATGCCAACCCATTGGCCATGTTGATCCCTTGGCCATGCCAACCCATCGGCCGTGCCGACCCTTTGACCACCCCTTGGCCACGCCAACCCCTTGGCCATGCCAATCCACTGGCCGTGTTGACCACTTGGCCATGCCAACCCATTGGCCGTGCCAAGCCCTTGACTACCCCTTGGCCACGCCAGCCCATTGGCCATGATGACCCCTTGACCACGCCAACCCCTTGGCCACGCCAACCCCTTGGCCATGCCAATCCCTTGGCTGTGCCAACCCATTGGCCGTGCCAAGGCTTGACCACTCCCTTGGCCACGCCAACCGTCGGCCACGCCAACCCCTTGACCATGCCAAGCCTTGACCACTCCCTTGGCCATGCCAACCCATTGGCCGTGCCAAGCCCTTGGCCACCCTTCGGCCACGCCAACCCCTCGGCCGTGCTGGCCCTTTGAGCACCGCTTGGCCTCTTGGCCACGCCGCCCCCTTGACCATGGCTCGGCCACGCCAACCCCTCGGCCGTGCCGCCCCGGCCACGCCGCCCCCGGCCACGCCGCCCCGGGCCGCGGCGGTTACTGTGATTCCTCTCATGGCTTCTCCACCACTCGGGTTTTTCCGCTGTACAAAGGGAGACACTTTTCCTTTTCTTTTCCCCCCGCTTCCAAAGGGGTTTTTTCCCCCCAAGCTGTCGATATTTTTTCCGTTGTCCAGCCCGGCGCCATCGCCCCCCTCCATCCGCCCGTCCGTACCCCCGAGTGTGACAAAGAGCAGAAGCCCCTCGGGTCACTCAGCCCCCGGGGGACGACGGCCCCGCCAGCCCCACGCGTGGCGGGGCCGCTGTCCGGCCACGCCCTCACTGCCCATGCATGTGCCACGCCCTCACGCCCGCTGCATGTGCACAGCCCGGCCCCGCCACACTCTCGGTTCCGCCCCCCAGCCGGACTCACCTGTGGGTTTTCGTTCCGTTTTTAATTTCCCAGGGTCAGTTTGACTTCACCCTTAATTTTGTATGGATTTTCGGAGGAGCTTTCTCCTTCTCCGGAGTCACGGAGGTGCGGCCATTC